CAGACTATCGGCAATATTTTCAGACAATCTGCAATGATTTCAGACATTCTACAACATTTTCAGACAATCTGCAGCGATTTCAGACATTCTACAACATTTTCAGATAATCTGCAATGAATCAGACATTCTACAACATTTTCAGACAACATGCAATTATTTCAGACATTCTACAACATTTTTAGACAATCTGCAACGATTTCAGACATTCTACAACATTTTCAGACAATCTGCAACAATTTCAGACATTCTACAACACTTTCAGACAATCTGCAACAATTTCAGACATTCTACAACATTTTCAGACAATCTGCAATGATTTCAGACATTCTACAACATTTTCAGACATTCTACAACATTTTCAGTCCATCTGCAAAAATTTCAGACATTCTACTACATTTTCAGGCAATCTGCTACAATTTCAGACAATCTGCAGCGATTTCAGACAATTGGCAAAGATTGCAGACCATCTACAACATTTTCAGATATTCCACAATGTTTTTGGATAATTTGCAACGTTTTAAGACCATCAACAACATTTTCTGGGCAATCTACAACATTGGTAGACCACCTTTGACATTTTAAGGCAATCTACTACGTTTGCAAACAATCTACAACATTTTCAGAAATTCCACAACGTTTTTGGTTAATTTATACTTTAGTATAGAATTTTTTTAAATGAAATCAACTAGATTTTTTTAATGAAAGAAATTTCAGGAATGTTGTAAATAAATTAATAATAATATTTCATTATTCTATTCATATTTTTAATAATTAATAAAGTAAGAAATTAATTAATAATAATTAATGCATTTATGTAAATAGTTTGAATAACAAAGGACATATCACCAAGACTTTAAAAAATTCCAAAACATATTTACCTTTTTTTATGATGATCTAATTCAGGTGATATAGAAAAGCTATCCAAACTTCGTCTACTATGATGCCCCCTTCTATCATCATCATCTAATCTAAAAGCATCTTTAAAATTCCTACGTCTTCTTGAAATTGACCTGGACCGAGATCTACGTCTAGATCTAGTTATTGATAATGATTTGGACCTTGTCCTACGCCTAGATCTTGATCTATTTCTCGACCTAGTTCTTGATCTAGATCTATTTCTATTTTTTCTTGATACATCATAATAATCTTTGGATCTTGATCGAAGCCTCAATCGCCTATCTCTGGAAGCAGATCGGCGTGATCTCATGAAGTGATCTCTTGATCTTCTTCTTCTGTGTGAGGGTGACCTTTTGCTGCGTGATTCCTGTGATGCATTTGAATGCTTTGATTTAGATATTCTGTCGTAGTAAGAAGTTGGTTTTTTGGTTTCATTTTGAGGAGATGTCCTGAGAGGTGAGTTTTTGTATTTTCTTACTGGAGCTTCAAACTTTCGAAAAGGTGACCTTTCACTCTGCCTGTTCTGAAACCTAAAAAAAATCAAACAATTAGTAAAAATATGTCACTTACTAATGAAGATTTTTTATAATTATATATCAACCTGAGTCTCTCTCTATGTCGACTTGAACTTCTATTTCTAAGTGCATCAGAATCCTTTTCTAAACTTTCCTCAGCTTTGTCAGTACCATTCGAAGCAACATTATCATTCGAACTCTGATTGTATTCATCTATAATCTTGCAATCGTCTAAGTCATCTATAACAATAATATCATTTTTGGGTGGCAAGCTTTCTAAAGGTGGTTCCCAAGAATCAATAACATTTAGGCCTTCAATAAAGTCTGCATTTGAAAAATCATCAAAGAAGTCATCAGGAACATCTTCATATTCATCATCCATATTTATTTGATTATTTTAATACTAAATTGGACTTGTAATAGACATAAGTTGGTCGCGTGTTTCACATTATGAATACAAACAAGCAATTATTTATAATCTAAAGCTTTTTATTATTAGTTTAACCAAAACTTGTCACAATGATATATTTTGCTGTCTTAGCACAACATTTGTGAATAGCACTAGCATGTGTACTTTCACCACATTGTCGATTGATATATAATTCTAAATATATAAAAATGTAATGAAAAATGACATTTATCGAATATATTGCCAATTCAACACACATTTAATGGAAAAAACAATTTTTCTTTAAAGTAACAACAAATACTGCGAGAATAATGACAGCGGCATGCATTGCCAATATGACAGATGCAACATACGAAAAAATGAGCGAAAAATTAAATTGTTTCGGTTAGGCATTCGAAAATCAAATACACTAGTTCTAAGACATTTGTAAATAATTAATTATATCACTATTATATGTAAATATATCCCAACCTGCTTTTAGAAGTTTCTGTAACGCATCTAATAAATATGAACATTGAATTTTTCGGTCCATGACTTCCACTTTTTACTTTTAATAGTAATGAATAAACATTTATATTTATAACCCTTTGATTAACAACTAATACAGAATCTTGTTACCATGCCTACTGCGGAAAAGATTAGATATTACACAAAATTTTTTTTTCTATGGGTGAAATAATATTATAGTACAAATTATTTATAATACTCAATAACATTATGACTATAGATGATATTATTATAATAACTAACTACAGTGAGATCGATATTTAAATTTTTGGTTTGAAATTTGCGCTCTTGAACAATTTAGTTTTTTGGTTTGAAGTTCGCGCCCAATCAATTTTTGCGCCATTTATCACTGTCACATTTAACAAATATGGCGGGTTTTCCTTCAGTTATTTTAAAATAATAAAAGTAATGTGAGTGAACATACATATACAAAAAGATTGTATAACAAACTATAATTATTATAATCTGCTCTAATGTGCCGTAGTTTTAATATTTTATAAACTTATTATTTTTAATTATTAAAGTGTAAGCTAAGAAAGATGTGTTTAAAAAAAAACTGTTAATGGCGTTCCTTCCCGAGGAAGAAGTCATACTTTTTAATTTGGAAATGAAAACTGTACGAGGTAAAAATTAATTTTTAGACTACTTTATTTTGTTTGTTTAAGACTTGTTAACATTATAAATTCTGCTATAAAAACAACTCACAGTTGAAGGCATCCTTTAATTTCCAATCTGTATCATTTACTCCAAATCTGTAACATTTACTATTGGAGGATAATATAGTTTTTAGGTAATTTATAACGTTTTCAGTTAATATACATTTCCAAACAATATACAAATTTTCCAGATAATCTACAAAATTTTTAGATAATCTACAAAATGTTTAGATAAACTTTACCAATCGGTAGTAGTAGTTAAATGTTTGAATTGGTTGTTAGATCTTTCCTACTATTTATAATTTCCAATCTAAATTTGTTTTCAAAATTAATAATGTTTCTGTGATTCACATTACAGTCACAGGTTTCACACAATTATCAATTTCTTCACCAGTTGCATCTAGCAAACAAAGTTTGTAAACATGCAGTGGATATAAATGAAGAATTTGCAATAAATGATGTAATATCCCTTATTTTTTTTATTCATCTTTAATTTTCTCTTTGTAATTAATCGCTGATCTGACGATTTTTGTTCTATGCTGATAACAAGGGCAAATAAAATTGTTTGCCTTATGATTAGTATTGTAATTTGTCTTATATTTATTATTTGACTCAAGGCAATTTATGCATTTTTCTATATCCGTCTTACAATCTTTGATGTAATGCTCTCCTGTGCATATTGAACAATCAATTTTGTTTCTACACTCTATTGCTCTATGTCCATAGGCCTGACGTTTAAAGCATCTTAAGCTATTTAGGTCTTCGACAATAATGTAATATCTCTTATGACTGTATATGATAAAATACAAATGACAATTGGAATAAATTTCTTCACAGTTGGGTTGTCCATGCATTTTTCAGCACATGTCTCCAATTCTTTTGGATGCTGAAATGGTCACACCAGGATTACCCGAGTAGGAGCTTTTATAACTTAATGTGAAGTAGATTAATGTATTTTTCTGATTGTGATAGGATAGCAATTGAGCATTACAAATTTTGTTATATTATAATCTTGGGAATTTAATCAAAATTTTGTGTAAAAACAGCAAATTTAATTTTCTAGTTAGCCAGTTGACTAATATTTATTTAAAAAAAAAACAATGGGGATTGAATCAAATCATTTACCTTGTTCTGATTACAGTATTCTACATGACTTTGCACCAAATTGATTGATATGCGACTATTCTCTTGGTAAATCAAATAAAAATACTCTATAAAACACCCACAGTTAAATGACAAACAAATGATCATTTACTTAATCAAACAAATGATCATTTAACAAATGTGACCGTTTCTCAGTATGATATTACTATATGATAGCTTAAAAACCTTGCCAGATACATTAGAAGTATAATTACAAAAAGAAACTATTTTTAAAATATTTTTTAATTATATTCATGATAAACAAATACTATACATTTTATTTTGCTTCACAGATTTATAATCACTATTTATGCATATATTCTTTCGTGTTTTTATTTGTAAGCTGTTTAAAATAACATCTTTTCTTATGGCAAATAGTTTAAAACTATTTGTTTGCAAAAAAATTTTCTCATTGTTTCAATTTATGGTGAGTTATGTGCTCATAATAACAGCAATGAAAAATTGGATTCACATAATATTTTAATTTTAAATTTAAATGTCATATATAAATTTTTAATACTATACTGCTCTTTTTCCAAAATATTTTCCTAAATCAAATAGTTTTTCTGAATATATTATTAACATATTTATAATTTTGAAATTAATGCTTGAATACTTATATGAATTATAGTATACATATTTATAAAGATACATTGTTGGTAAAAAATAAGTCAATGCAAATATTTTATTTTAACTAAAATCTTTTATCATATTGCTCTAAAATTTTTTTTCCGAAAGATAATGGCATTGTTTACTTACAAATTGTAGAATACTTTGATTTTAATTTATTGAAACTTATATAAATTGTCATGTAGATTTCTTTCACTTATGGTTGTTATACATATGTACGGGACTTAATTTCTGTTTTTTTTGTCTTTTACCACTTATTTATGTTTGCACATTGCAAAAAACCTTCGTGTGACATCTTCTATACTTATTGGTTCCTGAATATCTATTTCTACTTGATTGGGCACCTAAAATAATTAACATAATAATAAATGTAATAATATAGGAGAAAGAGACATATATTACATATATTTATATTATGTTATATTATATATATGAAACTAAATTATAACAATTACAATTATTTTACCTGATCTCTTCTCAATTGTCTCCAGCGACTTAATGTTTCCTCATACTGCCACATCTTGTCATTGTCATTCAATTCATGATAAACATGCACCAGGCCACGATAATCGTATTCAAGTCCTGAATAAGTTTCACCAAATAACTTTAAACCTAGAATGAATTATGAATATTTTATCTACCTGACATTTTTTATAAAAACAAAACATTAACTATAAAAGACATAGAGAAAAATAACACATTGATGAGGAAAATGAATTTAAAAAATTGTCCAGCATCATAGATACTGGACAATTGTTCAAGAAAACAAAAATTTAAAAAACGAGCCAGAGAACATAAACTTGCATTTCAAAAACGTAATACTTCAATAAAAACCACTAGTAGTGTGCAAAGTCGAATATTGTGATTCAAATCATTCAAATGATTTCTCTTAAATATTGCATATAAATTCTCAATCATTATTGTGAAAGATTCCATACTTATAGCAATACTGCGATGGTAAAGTGTCTCAGCCTCCCTGTATTGTAGCATATGATAATTATAGAGAGATGCTAAATGACCCACAGATAAACCGACTTCGTAATCATCAGATCCCAGCAATTGCTCCTTAATTGCAATCGCTTTTAGGTGCATACTTTCTGCCTCCTGCAAATGAAAAGATATACTTTAAAAAAATACTATATATAGTTGCATTTTATATGATTGTTTATAATAATTAACACATATTAACATAAGTATAATATAATATATGAACATTTATAATAAATGGTAATAACTATGAGCAGGGCTGGTATAAATACCCACCTAGAGCAGAATACTTTCACTCAATTGATTTACTTATGAAAGAGGTAACTGCTCAAGTTCTTCAACGATTTTACATAACAAATTTATAATATCATATTTTTATTTCTTCTACAAATTTCTTTACACACAATTGAAAAATTTATTTAAATAAAACTGATTTGATTTCAAACATTCAGAAGCCTAGTTTTTTATTGCATACACCATGAATATTCTTTCATAAAATAAGAATCCAAGCAAAAGCTGTTGTGTTTGTAATTAATTGTTAAAAGTATTTATTTTGACCATTTTTATAAAACTTATGTTCTAAAACATTGTAAGCTAAAGTGCACAAATTATTAACAAATTTGAAATTAACACTTGAATACTTATACGAGTTATAGTATACATATTTATAATCATACATTGTTGGTAAAAATAAGTCAATGCAAATATTTTAACTAAAATCTTTTATCATATTGCTCTAATTTTCTTCGAAATATAATGGCATTGCTTACTTACAATTTGTAGAATATTTTGATTTTAAATTATTGAAACTTATATAAATTGTCATGTAGATTTTTTTTCACTTATGTACGAGACTTAATTTCTGTTTTTCTCTCTTTTACCAATTTTCACTTTACTAATTTACTTTCTAAAATTTCGTCCACTACGCATATCAGTTTGGTCTGTTTGGTTACCTGTTCATAATATGTTAAATTAAAATCTTTTGAACCAACCTTGAACTTCTTCATACTCTGATAAAGTCTCCCGAGGTTTCCATAATGTTTAGCAGTCTGGACATTCCGTTCTCCAAAGGCCATTGTAGATAATTCCAAAGCAGTTAAGTGTAGTTTTTCGGACTCATACAAAAGTTCATTCTCTGCTATTAACAAAAACAAAATTTAGAAACATTGTAGAGTAAAAGATTTACTTATGAAATATTATTTGTTATGCTTGTCGTTCACATTTATGAATATACTTATTCAATTTAAAAAATGCCGTCGATACAAGTTTTAAGGAAAATATCAGAAACTTCGAAAACGAAAATTAGAGAAGATAAACACATTAAGAACTAAATTTGTATAAGTCTTACCAAAATTATTGAATCAAAAATCATAGATTAATTTGATTATTTGTCGTTGAGCTATCAATATACTTTTAATTTAAATAAGTACACACCAACAAAAAGTGTACCTTCACCTATGTTGTCCAGGGCAATCTCTTCCAAAATAAGAGCTTTTACACGTTTCGCAGAAGCCAGCATCAGATGATTGCTAGGAACTAAACGCTGCATAATTTCTATGGCCTTTTCAGCATTTTCTCGTGCTTTGTAGAAACGCCCAGAGCTGAAAAATATAATAGTCTACTTAAAACATTTTTGAATTAAACTCATCACTCAGAGTCAGGGTCAGGGTCAGAATTTTAATTAGGGATTAAAAAACAACTGTTTATGAACTGGGTGTTAGTGGCATTTTGCCTGAAGGCAAGTTGCATACAAGTGTGAATAAGCAACTTAAGCCATAAGAAATCAATATATAAATTTTCGAGTGATTTATAAGTATACCCGGTCGAGGGCATCATAATGTAAGTTTCATGACCTGTAAATGTTGATTTTTTTTTTGCTTTTCCCAAAAACAATCATTTCGTCAATAGTCCAGTCATTAAGTCCTTTTGTCGGTATAGTACTCCGTGAATTCCGAAAATTGGTAATCTTTTATATTTCGAAGTTCTTTACGAATTTCAACTTTGCCACCTCAAATTTTTACGGCAAGTCGCCGCCATAATGGAAAAATGGCGTCAAAAAACAGTTTTTTTTAGAATATCTGTTTTCAGGCGCATTCTACGATAAAAGTAGCTATGTATGAATGAAACTGGATAAAATTTCCTACAATTCAATCAATAACCGTTTTTTGTAAAATCGAGAGCGCCTCAAAGTCTTTGCTGCTCGCGCCGCAATATCGGATCTTCCTATAGGATAATGAATTGTAGAAAATTTTATCTAGTTTAATTCGTACTGTTCGTACAATATTTGACTGTTCTGTTTTATAAATCTATAGGATTACCAACTTTCAGAATTCCCGCAGTACTATACCGGCAAGAGCCTTTTTTGCGCCAAATGACTGGATTACATTATAAGCAGAAAGCTTTTTGAATCGCTCAAATCGGACGCTTAGTTCTCTCAAAAACTGACATTTATTGTACATTTCGCTCTGTATCTTCGAAATGGCTATGGCGACCTGCCTTTGCCAAAAACTAATCACCACTTCTGCACACTTTGCTCCATATCTCCGAAACGGCTAGACCTGCCTTTGCCAAAAACTAATCAGCACATCTCCCTATCAATAGGAATCGAATGTTTTCTGAACCATTCAAATCGGTTGATCCGTGCGCCCGAAAACGTGGACAAAAAATTGCGGACACACAAAACACACACACTCATCCATTTTTTCTGAGGTATGCCAAAATGTTCAGAAACTTCTGAAACGTGAAAAAATGCAAAAATTTTCATTTTCAATTTTCGGCCCAGTACTAAAACTTACACTACGGGAAGTTAAAAAAATATAGAATGTTTATTAAAAATACCTGTATTCGTGTACATAGAGTGCATAGGCAAGATCTTCATGTGCTATGGCCACATGAAGATTGTATACTCCAAATATGGCATATTTTATATCTAAAGCATCCTGAAAACATAAAGACATTTGAATACAGTTTTACAACATGATAGAGATTCATAATCTATTAAGTTTACCTTATATATTTTGACACTGTGAGCTATAGAATCTACATTAAGCAAATAGAACCCGTAATCTATTAGAGCATCCGAGTATTTAGGATGTTTCAATCCAAATGTTTCTCTGGCTAAGTAAACGGCTAATCTGATCAACAACCCTGCTCTTGCAAAATCTCTTTTTACCACACAAGATTTGGCTGCTTGACGAAGAACATCAATCTTAACTCTGAAATAGTAAAAATATAATTATAGCCATCTATAAAGTCATAAACAACTTTTAAGCAAATCTTTGGTAAGTTTAATAAATTTAGTTTATATATCTATTATCACTTACTTGGCAGGAGCATCGCCTCTCAAATATTTCAAAGCCTTAACACTATACTGATAACTGGCATCGTAATCACTTCTATTAAACCACAAGCGTGAAAGCTCAGCATACAAAGCTGCCAAATGTCTGCCAAGTCCATCATTTGGTGCTTGATTGCACAAAGAATAATTGCTTTTAACAAAAATATCCGGATTAAAAAAATATGACTTTCTGATGATGCAGCAGTTGACTCTGATGATATGGCAAGATTTTTTGTTTCACACGAAGAGCATTCAGAAGGACCAGCTTCACTGAAATTATCTTCACTATCCGAAGAAATGGAACTCTGACAATTCAGTAATATTTCACTAGAAGTACTTTCACCAGGATCATCTGGATAAAATGAATAAATGATATTTGAGAAGAGGATATTTATGGGACTTTTCTCAGATAACGTTGCTATTAGGGAATGCACCGATAAGAAATTTCAATACCGGTATTTCGGTATTTTTTATGTTAAAACCGGCAATACCGGTATTTTTATCGTCTTAAATATAAACAAAATGATAGTTATTTGTACAAATTTAAAAAATTATATATACAACTTCAACTATATGCAATTATACAATAAAACTAGTGGGTATGGCATCGCGTCTTGAAGAAAATTGCTGAAACTTCCCGTACCAAAAATTAAATTTTTAAAAAAGATTCATTTTTTTAACTTTGAAAGAAATTAGATTTTTGAGAATTTTTGAATTTATGAAAAAATGGAGTTTTTTGGAAAAAAAAACTTTTGGAATTTATTTTTATTTTGAAATATTTTGGAAATTTGGAATTTTTTCAAGGCAATCGCACTGCTTTAGCTGCAGTATAGAAGCGCGTGAGCGCCGCGTCGCCGCTTAACGAATAAACGACGTTAAATTATTGAAGTCTCCATAAAATATTTGATAATTTGATGTGCATATGTCTAATGATCATTTTTGACCGTCAAATGGCATTTTTTTACTTTTTTTTACTAAATCTCCGAAACCGCTAAACCCGCCTTTCAAAAATTTAATCAGTTCTTCATCTTGTCAATACAAGTAAAATGCTTTTTGAATTATTAAAATTGGGCGCTCCGTTCTCTTGAAAACGGAGTTACCGTTTTTGACGCTTTTTGCCCCGTATCTCCGAAACGGTTAGACCTGCCTCTGCCAAAAACTAATCAACACTTCTTCTTATCAATACGAATCGAATGTTTTTTTTAACTTCCCGTAGGGTAAATTATTGTAATGGGCCGAAAATCGGAATTGAAAATTTTTACATTTCTCGACGTTTTGAAGGTTTCTGAACATTTTGGCATACCTCAGAAAAAATGGATGTGTGTGTGTGTGTGTGTATGTATGTGTGGATACAAATTTCCAGTCACGTTTTAGGGCGCACGGATCAACCGATTTGAATGGTTCAAAAAACATCCGATTCCTATTGATAGGGAAAAGAGCTGATTAGTTTTTGGCAAAGGCAGGTCCAGCCGTTTCGTAGATACGGAGCAAAGAGTGCAGAAAATAGAAATCGTATTTTTGAGAGAACGGAGTATCCGATTTGAATGATCTAAAAAACATTCAATTAGTAATGATTGGGAGAAGTGTTTATTAGTTTTTGGCAAAGGCAGGCCCAGCCATTTTGAAGATACGGAGCTAAATATGTAAAAAATGGCAGTTTTTGAGAGAACTAAGCGTCCGATTTAGATGATTCAAAGAACGAAATATTTTCGAAATATTTTATTTTTTAATATTGACTATAGTTCTAATATACTTTACAAATAATTTCAACTCTGCAATTCAGTTTATATAATATTTATAAATATTAGACAATTTACAATATTTATAATAATCTATTTGAAAACAT